TATTTACGATTATAGATTTTTGTGGGATATTTCATCAATTATGCAATATATTATTCAAATATGAGATACTTTTAACAAATACATTAGCTCATTTGTATTCAAAGTTTTATTAAATTAAAATTTTGAACAATATGAGACATGTTAAAAGATATATTACTCTTAAGCAATTTAAATTTGTTAAAATAAACTAAAACAAATATGAGACACACCAAATAAATAAAGTATTTTATCTTCATTATTATATTAGTTATATTTTTATAAAATTTTAATTTTAATATAGAATCCTAAAACACACAAATAAAATTTCATGTGATCATATGTTATTCAGTAGTATAAAATATTATAAATTAAAAATAAATATTAAACACATAATAATTATGATATTGCGTTATTGTACTGTTTAGTATAATTTTAAAAATTTATTAAAAATACTCTTCACAAAACTAGAATATAAATATATTACATCTCAAATTAAAGATTTCGTTTTTTCATATTTTAAGACTAAAATATAAACTTATACTCATGTAACAAAACTAAAAATAACATTTTGTAAAACTTAAAATACGTAAAATGAAATTATAATTTCTGTTAAATAGAATTTTGTAAAAAAGGTCAGTGCTTTAAAAAAGTAGATTTTAATTTAATATATACATAAAATCAATTAATCTCTTATGAACAACAAAAAAATTACTTATTTCATTTCATTTGAATATGGAGGTAAAATAGAATTAGATGGGAAATTTGTTGTCTGGATGCACTAGTGATGTTTATTTCTGATTTCTATTAATCGCTAACCCATAGTTAGACATAGCATAATCAAAAATTGTTGACTTCCAGAATAACTGAAAACAAAATCTAATTAGATTATTTCTCAAAAAAATAATCTTTTTAGATTATATGAATTTTGACAATAATGAAAATCAGGAAGGGATTAGAAAGATGTTATTATTGGGAAAGAAAGAATATATAAGAATCTAATATCATTTAATTTATATAAGTAACATATTAATTATAGATATGTATTTTAAATCAAACTGGTAAATATTTAATTAGTATTATTAATTGCAATAAAATTTGATAAAATATCAACATATTATTATGTATTTAATGGATTTTTGTCGTATCATAGTTTCTCTAAAAGCATATCATTTTTACATCGGAGTATAAAACAGTGCCTCGAGAACTACTCTCTCAACATCTTTTGTACATCGGAGTATAAAATAGTGCCTCGAGAACTACTCTCTCAACATCTTTTGTAATAATCTATATTATAATAGTACACTTTATAGGCTCCACAATGCGCCACGTCAGCAGTTTTGTGGGTCCCATAGGTATTTTTTAAAAACTTATATTCTTGGCAAGATGATTACAAACAATGAAATACACTTTAGCCAAGTGGTATAAGGTGTTTAATTTAGCATGCAAGATCGTGGGTTCAAACCACGCAACCATCATTTATTTTTTATTTTTTTATTTGGGTTATTATCATATGGGCTTTTTGTTTGTAAGGTTTTTATGTTTTTTTTATGACTTACTAGTGGTCCGTCCGCGCTGCGCGCGGATTATCGGATATTTGTATTATTTAAAAATTTTAAATTATTTCTTGGTTTGTAATGTAATATTTTTATTGTGTTTTGTTTCTGAGAATGGTCTATTATGATATCAATGTGATGGCATTAGGGTTAAATGGTTGACATTTGAAAATTATTTTAAAATTCTTGAGTCATAGATGTTATTTTTTTGTTTGACAAATTTTATTTTTTTCAGGATCAGAGATAATAGCTATGAGAATATTTTTCATAAAAATTTATTTGAAAACAAAGTCTAACAATTTATTCTAAAAACAAAATTAAACAGAACCTTTGGAAGAAATTGAAGAGGAACATAAATGTTCAATTTACACTGAGAAACAAAACAAATAAATCAAAAGTGGAAGGAGTACGTCATCATGTTAATGGTAAGCACGTTTCCCGTATAGGCCTTCTTTTAGTTAAGGTGATCACTGAAGCCCATTATCCTTTTGTAAAACTCGGTTACCAAAAAGAAGTGGAAACAGTTGGAGCAAACCGTGATCTCTGTCTCCTGTTGAGGATGGCAGTTCTGGGGTGGCCGCATCTTCTTTAGTGAGGTAAGACATATATTCTTCATGTGAAATTGGAGGTGCTCAAGAGATTGATGAAAAATCTCCATACAATCTTCTAGTACTGGAATACCTTGCTCATCAGTGAGTTTGTTAATGTTTTTAACCCCTAAGTCAGTTTCGCCGATGGCCATAAGGAGGACGCCGTAAACGTACCTTCCTCGGAGGTGACCACCATTTGAGGCAATGTGGATGTGATGTAGACCTAGGGACTGATTTCGAGTTTCGAAGAATTCTAGCATGCCTTTAACATAGTGAGCGTCAACATTGTTCGCGTTGAGGCAGTTTTGCACCAAATTTTGTTACCGATGAGCTAGAGCAAGCTTCTTCACCAAAAGTGAGAGGTTGAGATCCTTTGCAACAAAGAAGTTCTCAGAACTGAAACTGAGGGTTTTAGATGTCATAATTGTGTTGAAGTAGTCGGTGGGGGGGGGGGGGTCATAGCCTACTTTGGAAACAATTAGGAGACGCATGTCTTCGGGCATGAATTCAAGGGTGAGGGTATTATGTTGTTTTGGATTCATGAAACTCATCAAAAAATGATCGAGGTTTTTTTTTTTTTTTATTCTAACACTGTCCTTATTAGTTTATTTGTGTTGTGCACTTGTTTATATAGGACGTTGGACACTGTTGATTGTAACGTCGTTTACGTTTTTAAATATAATTATTGGAAGCCATAATTTTGCGTTGAATTTCTTTGCGGTTTGATTGTTATTCTTTATGTTGTACCGTTGCATGTATGCTGAGTGGATTGATGTGTAATTTATGGTTATTAAAAATTAACTGACCGGATTTCCTTATGATTTTGCTTGGTTTTAATACTTATAATATAATTTGAAAGGTAATTTATATGTGGGTATCGAATAAAACTTTTTTGGTTTGCTTGACATTAGATAAGTTTGTATTTGTTGCAAACACCATAGATTTGTGGAATAATTTTAAAATTATTTTGAGGGTTTGATTTACCTTTCTAGGTATTTATTATCATTATCGGAAATATATGTGTCTGTAACGTGGCATTGAACGCAAAAAAAAAAACTTCAAATTGCTTTAATTTTGGTATTATAGATGATTTATGCCATTATTTGCCGTGTTTCCGTTTTAACAACAAAAACTTAAAAAAATTTTGGGCCTCTACCACACGAAATAGCCAGCCCAACAACAACCACAAAACCGACAAACAGAAAACCAATTGAAACCAAAATGGGAGAGATAAATTTTGTTTGGTCTATTTGGTTTAGGTTATTGCTGACATGGCTTTTTTTGCCCCCCTCACAAATGCTGATGTGGATGCATGAGAAGGGAGAGAAGTCTACTTTATTGTATAAGATTGTTTTAATGATCAAAATAGTTGGATAAACCCTAAAGCTTAACGAGTTCAAACTAAAAATAGTTAAAAATGGATGCAAAAACGAACAATAAAAAAACAAAAAAAAAGCAAGTCTCACGCGGTTGCCTACGCGGATGGCTTAAACAGCCTTAAAACTATCCTATTATAGTATAGTTCAATCCAAAAATAATAAAAAATGAATCCAAAAACGAACCGACCAAAAAAAAAAAAGTTGGATAAACCCTAAAGCTTAACGAGTTCAAACTAAAAATAGTTAAAAATGGATGCAAAAACGAACAATAAAAAAACAAAAGAAAGCAAGTCTCACGCGGTTGCCTACGCGGATGGCTTAAACAACCTTAAAACTATCCTATTATAATATAGTTCAATCCAAAAATAATAAAAAATGAATCCAAAAACGAACCGACCAAAAAAAAAAAGTGAATCCCACGCGGCTACCTACGTGGATGACTTAATGAGGCTTGAATAATATAGATTAAGAGCTCAAAAAGTGAAATCATTGCACATATTCCCACAGTCGATGACGCCGTAAATAAAAATGCCACATCATTTATGAACAAAACTCAAACTTACAAAAAAACATATATAAAAACCTATCTAATGAAACTTAAACAACGAATGTTAACTTAATTAAGGTTATTTTCAAATTGATAAATCTTTTAATACAAGTATAAATACTATAAATATAGAATTATATCAAGTTTTGACCTACGATATAAAAACTATTTAAAGCAAAAAAAACACCTACTTTTACACACTAAAACTATATTATAGCCTAACTATTCCTATAAACTTACTTCACATATAAATAACATTTAACTCATTCCTAATATATTGTCAAAAAATTTGTGTGAAATAAAATAAAATAAACAACAAAATTTAAGTATTTTCGTTATTTATTAAATGAATATGTAATTTCTCTTACATTTTAATAACTACTATAATTTCATTGAAAACATTCCTCACCACCGACTCTAGACTTCGGCGAATGGATTCCTCGATGACGCCGTAGATAAAAATGCCACATCATTTATGAACAAAACCCAAACTTACAAAAAACCATATATAAAAACCTATCTAATGAAACTTAAACAAAATATTAACTTAATTAAGGTTATTTTTAAATTGATAAATCGTTTAATACAAATATAAATACTATAAATATAGAATTATATCAAGTTTTGACATACGATATAAAAACTATTTACAGCAAAAAAAAATAAAAAATAGACACCTATTTTTACACACTAAAAACTATATTATAACCTAACTGTTTCTATAAACCTTACTTCGCATATAAATAACATTTAACACATTAGATATACAATATTTTCACTGTACACTCTTACTACATTCTTTCCATTTCATTAATATTTGGTGTCATTAGAAGAATACACTAAACCACTAAATCGAAAAAAATATATGCAAACATAATGATTCCGGCTCCGCGCTTGCGCGGGGAGTATGCAACTAGTATACTCTAATACTTAAAATTTGGAGAAAATAGCAATGAAGTTCGCTTTTGTTCTTTTCTTAGTTCTTCTATCAGGTAAATTAATATTTTATATGTATGAACAAAAAAAAAATTAAAAACCAAAACCAGTAAGGAAGTGTGGAGAAAATTATATCTGATATGCTTCATCTAAATAATTATAAAAGTTTGTTTAATAGTCATAATTATATTATATCATTTTTATAGTTTAATAATACATTTGGTTTTGTAGCGATGACAATGGCAACAACTAAAAATGTACAAGCAAACCGTCAATTACCTAAAGAAGCTCATCAGTTTATGTTGCAACATGAAGTGTCGTTGCATGCTCAACAACCACAAGGTCTTGATAATTGTAAGAAAGAGTGTACAAAGTGTAACGTCACTGAATTTAATATTATATGTTATTGTGTGTGCTAATTTTTAACATCATCATATAATAGAATAAATAAAAAATTTCTTTGGTATATAGTAATCTTACTCTCTTTTTTTTTNAGTTTATGTTGCAACATGAAGTGTCGTTGCATGCTCAACAACCACAAGGTCTTGATAATTGTAAGAAAGAGTGTACAAAGTGTAACGTCACTGAATTTAATATTATATGTTATTGTGTGTGCTAATTTTTAACATCATCATATAATAGAATAAATAAAAAATTTCTTTGGTATATAGTAATCTTACTCTCTTTTTTTTTTTACGTATACTACGTATTACATAAGTACATATTATAATTGAATGGAAAACGAATTAATAAATTAATTAGTTTTATCATATAATAATATATTATCTATTGAAAATATACAAAATATTCTATATTTAATTTAGAAAAATAATTAACTATAGTTTTCTTTATTTTTATTTCACATACAAAATAACAAAACTAAAAAGACTATTTAACAATTTTTTCTAACAAGTTAAGAGTTATAACATATGTTAAAAATATATCATAACTAAAAATTCTTAAGTACTTAAATGTCTAATGTGAGTGAAGTACAAATTAAAAATAATCTACGTTTTCTTGCTCCAATTAGTTAAATCATTGGTTTGTTAAGAGTTATCATGACCCATTTAGATCATGTATAAAGGCTACATGCAGTTAAATCATAGGTTCCGCCAAATTATGAGAGCAAAGTAGAAATACAAACACTTTTCTCACTAGTGTTGCTAAAGGTTTGATTGCTATTTCCCTTGTCCTTATTCCTTCTTCTTCATTGATTTGGATATCATTGACAACAACACGATCCCTGATTCCGAGCTCTCTTCAGATCATATTTTTCCTTCATCATCAAGATTATTTTCAGATTTCATGTCTTCTTCTTGTTTGTCCGTGTCTCCTGAGTTATTTTCTTTCTTATTTTTTTCTTCTACTTTATCTTCAACTGACTTAGCACCCTCTTTCCCATCTCTTGAATTTGTGTTTTCTTCTTTACTTTATTTTTAACTGATTTCTTCTTCTCTACTATAACGATGTAGAATAGAATTGTGTATCTTATTCATTAACCCAAGGTGTGTTTATATACAACATTAACATCCAAAGAGTAGGAAAGTTAGCTAATCCTAAGCTCCATAGAAATATGAAAGTATCCTTATCTCATTACTCCCCCTCAAGTTGGCAATGAAATTTGTTGAATGCCTAATTTGGACAACAAGAATTGAAATGTTGGAGCTGGTAAGGCCTTAGTAAGGAGATCCGCAGGTTGGTTCTTCGTAGAAATATGGTCTGTAGTAATAAGCTTGGCCTTAACTGCAGCACGGACAGTATGACAATCCTTCTCAACATGCTTACACTACAAGAAAACTCGTCCATTACTAGGACGGGTTTTCCTCGTTAGTTCCTAGTAAATGGCCTTTTACTAGGAACTTACGAGGAAACACGTTTCCTCGAAACACGTTCATCGTAAAGCCATTTTCCTCGTAAGGTCGTAGCGAATTTACGAGGAAAGATTTCCTCGTAAAGGCGTGGTAATATTTTCCTTGTAAGGGCCTCATAAGCTTTCCTCGTAAGCTCGTAGTAATCATTTCCTCGTAAGGTCGTAATGATGCATTACGAGGAAATTACTAGAACAATTTACGAGGATATTACTTGGAACAATTTACGAGGATTTTGCTTGGAAATGTTTTTTTCCTATTAAAAAAAATAATTACAAATAATTAATTTATTTTTTAAAAATAAAAAAAATAAAATTATAAATAAAAAATAAAAAATAAAATATTTTATAAATAACTAAATAATATACAAAAAGTTTTTAAATTCATAATATACAAATAAAAATAAAAGAAACTACGGATGCTGCTCGTGAAATTGATGAACGAACCGGTCGTCGTCCTGGCTCGGCAAATCCTCTTCATAGTTGGTTGCCGGCTGTGACTGTGATGGCGGAGGATGTTGGGTACTTGGAATCCCTGCACGTTCCCGTCTCTGACGCAACAGCTCCTGCACTTGCGGGTTTCCAACCGCCATAATGTCGAGGATATCGGTGAGAGAAGTGACATTCTCGGTGAGCGAAGTCACTTGAGACTGCGTCGCCTGCAACTCCGAGCGCAGNGATGTTGGGTACTTGGAATCCCTGCACGTTCCCGTCTCTGACGCAACAGCTCCTGCACTTGCGGGTTTCCAACCGCCATAATGTCGAGGATATCGGTGAGAGAAGTGACATTCTCGGTGAGCGAAGTCACTTGAGACTGCGTCGCCTGCAACTCCGAGCGCAGCTGATCATTGACATCGTGCTGCTCCTGATGATAAGATGATGTTGCTGCAGGGACATCGTTAACCGAGCCAATCCCGATGATACACCCCTTTTTCCTAGGGGCGACCTGAAAATAAAAATATTAATAACATTAAGAAAAATTTAAAAAATATTAAAAATTAATAGTAAAACAAATTATTTACCTCCTCGTAAATCTTATCCACGTCAACAGTGGATAATATGACTGTAGACCCAGTCTGCTGAGTCAGCTGGGTCTGGCGTTCGTCAACTCGGGCAACAAGCTCGTTGTAGATCCGCTCGGAAGCAGGATCTACAAACTGCCCAACCTTGTTCCAGTGGGTCCTCTCGTAAAGGTCTTTCAGAGATGGAAGAACTCATGTCTCCTTAGCCTAAAATTAATTTATAAAATTAAATATTAATTTGGAATATATTCAAATAAAATAAAAATTAAATTGATATTAAAAATCATTTTACCATGTCTAGACGAACTCCCCCGTGAGGTTTTCGACCCGTGGTGTGAAGCACCTTCGTGTTGCCATGCTCGTCCTTGGTCATGCGGTTCCCGGAGTTTGTGTTGGAGGTTCTGACCGAGTCCGGCAACGTCCAATAGCTGATGAGGCCATTTTACACCGTGATTGTGAGGCAATCGGGTTTCCCGGCCTCGTAACCATCCAACTGATTTAAAAAAAAATTAGAATTAAAGTCAATATATAATATTTTTAAAACTATATATATATTATAATTTATAAATCTATACCTCATAGTCGCCCTTCCAGTTGTAGACCGTGTCGAGCAATCGTGTTTTTGCCTTGGCCTCAAACTCCTTCTTCACTCGCTGGTGAATCCCAATAGACCAGCGATACTTTTGCTGTAAGCAGAAAAAATAAAAGACGGATTAGTTCAATTATATTAATAATTTAAAATAATTAAAAATAAATTAACAAACTAAACTTACAGCGAACAGTTTGAACCACGTCTTTTTTGTGTGGCTCGCCGTCATCTTCCAGTTTGGAGCTGGATCGGGAAAGTATCCCTTGATACAGTCTGTGATGCTAGATCCGACACTATTGTCACAACCAAACCTGGAAAGACACAAAATAAATCATTAACTAGATTAACTTCTAAATATTTTGTTAATTAAGAAATAAATAAATAAAAAATTTAAAAATCAAAACATACCATAAAATGTTTTGGCCGTTCCGTCGGTAAGGATCTAACTCTGCCAGCCCTTCTCTGCCTGGAAGGGCCAAAATATCCTCCACCGTGTACACCGCAAAGGGTGCGTTCGGTGGCACCTGCAAATCGGGATGAACCCCGACCGGTGGAGGAGGAGGAGGAGGAGGAGGTGGCTGCTGAGACCGGGATGCCGTAGAACCTCCCTGAGTCTCGGGAACTGCCGAAGATGAACCACCGGGAGCTGACGAGGATGAACCCGGACCATCCTGACGCCCAAACATATCTCCGTAGCTTATCCCCTCGAGAGTCGACGCCCTCTTAGCAGCAGCCTTAGCAAGCTTGCTCTGTCTAGGCATCTATATTTAAAAAAAAAAAAAAATCAAAACATTAATTCCCGTATAATTTAAAAAAATAGTAACTAAAAGTAAACTAACATAATCTAAATTACCTAAACTAACCACCTAATCTAAATTCCCTAAACTAACCACCTAATCTAAATTCCCTAAACTAACCACCTAATCTAAATTCCCTAATCTAATCACCTAACTACGGATTAGATAGAACCTTTAGAGGACTTAGAGAGAAGGTTACTAGCAAATGAGAAACCGGATTTCTCGCGTATATATAAAGAATTTTGTTTCCTCGTAAAGCCCTAGTAACATTACTAGGACCTTACGAGGAAATAGCTATGCCCGTGTTTTTATTTCCTCGTAAGGTCCTCGTAATGGCTGTTCTAGGGCTTTACGAGGAAAACCCTTTACGAGGAAATAGCTATGCCCGTGGTTTTTTCCTCGTAAAGCCCTAGTAAAGCCTTACGAGGAAATAGCTATGCTCGTGTTTTCTATTACTAGGGCTTTACGAGGAAAGGTTTTAAAAATCCCTAAACTCGAAACCCCAAACCCCAAACCACAATTTCCTTAACTTATAACCTCTTCTACAACCAAACTCCTAACCTCTTCTACACATAAACCTCAAACCCCAAATGCAAATTGATTTTGTGATTAAACAAAATTAAAACATATATATAATCCAAATTGATTTTATGATTAAACAAACTTATAACACATACATAATTCATTCGGATACATTGTCGTAATCACTTGAAACATCATCATTTTCTAAAAACTTGTCGTGTACACCTTCGTCCGTTGAGTGATCAGGAACATCTTCGTTTTGACGATTATGCGGATCAATGAGTAGGATGTCATCAATTTCTTCTTCAGCTTCCTCGATCTCATTGGTGTTTTCTTCTTGTAATGGTGGTTCTTCTCCAGCGATTATTCTTCCTCGAGGTGTAACTTTGATAACAGCTAACCAGTTTATTCCCGAGGTAGTAATCTGAGGGTATGGAATGAAGCAAACTTGATCTGCTTGGGAAGCTAATATGAAAGGCTCGAACTTGTTGTACCTACGAAAAAAAAGATCAATACGTAAAAATTAAGTAATATTGAAAACCTTGATATTAAAAAAAAAGAATTTGGTGTACCTTCGTCCACC